CACCATCACCTTCTCTCAAAAGCTTGATATTAAGAATAACATCAGCCTCTCCCAAATCTTTCATTTCAAAATTATTAGATAAAAATTCCTTCACCTCCTCAATCACTTTGAGGCTGGATCCAAATATCAGTATGTCATCAACATATAGGCACAAAATAACTCCTTCACCCCCACCATACCGATAGTACACATATTTGTCAGTTTCATTCACAACAAAGCCAACAAATGTTAAAGTTCTGTTGAACTTCTCATGCCACCGCTTAGGAGCTTGTTTTAGGCCATATAATGACTTTAATAATTTACACACCTTGCCTTCTTGACCATTTGCTACAAACCCATCCGGCTGATCCATATAGATCTCATCCTCTAACTCTCTGTTTAGGAAAGCAGTCTTAACGTCCATTTGATGAACGATAAGACCATAAGAGGCTGCCAGGGAAAGCAAAACTCGAATTGTAGTCAATTGGGCAACCGGTGAATAAGTATCAAAGAAATCATCACCTTCCTTTTGAGTATAACCCTTGGCCACAAGTCTTACCTTGTACCTCTCGATAGTACCATCAGGCCTAAGCTTTTTCTTGAACACCCATTTGCACCCTATAGGCTTGCACCCATAAGGACGATCAACTATTTCCCAAGTTCCATTAGACATAATAGAATCCATCTCACTCCATACTGCTTCCTTCCATAAGTCAGCATCAGGAGAGGATTATGCCTCTTTAATGGTCATTGGTGTGTCATCCACAAGGTACGCAATATAGTCATCACCAAAAGACTTTGCAGTCCTCTGTCTCTTACTTTTTCTAGTGACTATAGTGTCATCCTCCTTAGGATTTTGCATATAGGGTTCCTCAATTTGTTCTATCGGAGTAAAATTTTCATGCTCATGGGGAATTATAAATTTATGACTAGTCGTGCTAGGTGCATTTCTCATGAGATTCATTCTCAAAAAATATAACGTCTCTAGATTCCATGATTGTATCAACAACCATCTCAGGAACACTAGAATTTATAATTAAAAATCTATAACCCACGCTGTGAATAGCATAACCAAGAAAGACACAATCAACAGTCTTTGGTCCAAGCTTTTGCTTTTTGTTTATTGGTACATTCACCTTTGCCAAACAACCTCAAGTTCGCAGGTAAGAGAGATTTAATCTCTTCTTCTCCCATTCCTCGAATTGTATAATTTCTTTGTTCTTTGTGGGCACCCTATTCAGGACATAACACATTGTCAATATAGCATCACCCCACCATTTCTTAGATAGTCCCGCAGTCTAACATGACATTAACCAAATCAGTTAGAGTGCGGTTCTTTCTCTCTGCAATCCCATTGGACTGTGGTGAGTATGGTGGTGTCCTCTCACGAATAATTTCATGCACCGCGCAAAACTCAGAAAATTTATTTGAGAAATATTCTCCCCCACGATTGGACTGTAAACGTTTGATTTTCTTCTCAAGTTGATTTTCTACCTCAGCTTTATAGACTTTAAAATAATGCAACGCTTCATCTTTAGTTTTCAATAAATACACGTAGCAAAATCTAGTACAATCATCTATAAATGTCATGAAGTATCATTTACCGCCTTTAGTCAATTCGCCATTCATTTCGCATAAATCAGAATGAACGAGTTCTAATAGTGCCAAGTTCCTCGCTTCAGCAGCCTTATGAGGCTTGCACGGTTGCTTCGATTGCACACACACCTAGCACTTAGAATCTTTGACTAAGTTAAATTTTGGGATTAAATTCAGATTTACAAGCCGCGTGAGACAGCCAAAATTAATGTGACAAAGACGTGAATGCCATATATTCGACTCATCCAAAACATTAATATTGTTCACTACTTTTTTACACACATCATCAAGCAAAGATAAACGGAACAAGCCTCTGCAATCATAACATTTTCCAACAAATATTTCATGTCTCGACATAACACACTTATTGGACTCAAGCATAATTTTAAAGCCACCGCGACACATTTGAGAACCGCTAACAAGATTCTTCTTGATGGAGGGGACATGATGCACGTTCTTTAATAGCACCGTCTTTCCTGAAGTAAACTTCAGAACGACCGTACCAACACCAAGAACACGTGCATACGAACCGTTTCCCATCAGCAAGGCTCCAGTCCTGCCGGCCTGATAGGAAGTAAACAAAGAAACATCAGCACACACATGAATATTAGCACCGTTATCCATCCACCACTCAGGTGAAAGATAAACTGAAAGAACAAAAGGTAAAGAATTACCATACCCAGATGTTCCTCCTCCAGTCTCGTTAATCACCACGTTTGCTGATTTCTTTTCTTGCTTATATTTGCGGTCTGGACACGCACTTGCCCAATGCTCATCACTCCCGCAAACAAAGCAACCTCCACATTTCTTGTTGTTTTTCTTCTTAAACACAGCAGTTTGCTTAGGCTTTGTATTGTTGTTCTCTTGCATGCTCTTCTTCTTTTTATTATGGGATGCAAACGAGTTTTTCTTCTGCACCATATTGGCAGCGGAAGACTCAACTCCTTTTCCACGGTTGTCTTTTGCTTTCGGCCTCTCCTCAACATCAAGAGGTCCAATAAGTTCAGCCACGCTAAACTCTTGTCTCTTGTGTTTTAGAGAAGTAGCAAAATCCCTCCAAGAGGGTGGCAACTTAGCGATTATACCGCCGGTCACAAACTTGTCGGGCAACAAACATGGAAAATGTTCTAGTTCCTTTGCTAGCGCCTGTATCTCATGAGCCCATTCCACTACAGAATGGTTTTCAACCATTTTGTAGTCATACAGCTGCTCCATAAGGTACAGCTCACTACCAGCATCAGAAACTCCAAACTTTGCCTCAAGAGCATCTCATAATTCTTTGCCTGATGTGCAAGATATGTAGTTTTTCTCATTATTACTATGAAGTGCACTAATCACGGCGCCTCGAAACAGGTTATCAGCAGCCAAGAACTTTTGCTCCTCCTCAGGAGTAAATTATTCAGGTTTTTTCTGTGCGGCGTGATAGCAGTTCATAGCAGTCAACCACAATACCATCTTTGCACGCCATATCATGAAATTCTTGCCATCAAAATTATTCGGCTTTAAAGCAGCAGCAAAACCACTGATAAAAAATTGTCTAACATTAGGTTTTTGGATTGTTAGATAACTAGTCGTTTTATGGTCAATTTAATCTAGAAATTTAACATCAGCAGGTTCGTGACGACATATATGTGCATGTCTATATCACTAACAAAAGCTACAGCATGCAAGTATGATATACCGATCAAGCCAGTAAGTATGCAAATTACGGTAATCAGAGAGATAAGAATGTACCCAGCGGAGGGTCCCATGCCAAGGGCATCAGAGGTTCCATTCGCACCAGACATAGTGCGTTGCTCGAAGTCGTGGACCACAGTCGATGCAGGAAGATATTCGCAGTGCAGTTCCACTAACGGTCACCAGGAAGAAGACGTGTTGCTGTCCCGCGAGCGATCACCAGGAAGAAGACGTATTGCTGTCCCGCGAGCAATCACCAGGAAGAAGATGTCCAGCGGCGTGGACGAGTAGTCGCGGAATCGCTCCCCAAAAACCTAATCACCGCACACCCCGTGCAAGGTTCGTGGGCGGACGAGGGTTCTGGAGGCACCTGCTCTCTCGTTGCTCTTTGCGCGTAGATATACGGGACGGGGAATACCGAGGGGCGGCTGAGTTGTGGTCTCTTGGAGGTGGAAGCGAAGGTAAGGGAAGACTGACGGAGGACGTCCGCACCCTTTAAGAGCTCGGTGGTCAACGCCGGCTCCAACAGTTATGGTGCCATCATGTAAATAGTCCTAATCATGTATACTGCCATTTGCTAGAACATTATTAAAGGTGTTAATTTGCAAATGCATGGTCAGTAAACATGTTTGGTTACATTATATTACTGACTATAATTTACTGAACCGCAACAGTATAAGGGAGTATTAAAAAACATTTGAAGGTTTGTTGCCAGTAATCTCACGTCCCTTCAGGTATAGGATTCTACTCACAGAGATGCACGTAGAATCTTCAGCTGGAACTCTTGTACCTTGTGAGAGGGCCGGTTCAATTGGTGGGTGAGCTCAGCATCTACTGTCCTACCACAAGGTTCAAGTTATCTTTGGCTTCGATTCGATCGGATACATGTTTTATCACAGCTACAATTTTTTGGGGGGGAAAAAAAAAAAAAAATGAGATAGTATATATAACCAAAACTTTCAAATGACACAAAACGGTGAGAAGGAAGAAATACAAGGAACAAGCAAAGCTTCCTACCACTCCTATATTATTAGAACCCATTGCATTTCCTTGGGAAAGAGGATAGCCTGCGTATATATAAGCGCGTTACATTTGAACTTGCCGATCTTTTTCTATCGAATTATTGCATTTGAACTTGTGAACTGGCAGTGCCAGAGTATTCAAAAGATAACTTACCACTTGCTCTCGGGTTTAGCCAAAGCCAAAGGAGGCGACGACCGAGGGCGACGACCTCACCAAGAATCAACGGCAGAGACCCATCGTAGGACGCGTAGATTTTTAACCTATTGGCCACACAACGCGTTAATCTCGTATTATAAGTCTGATGAACCGCGTACGCTCAGATGATATAGAACTTGTTTAATCCCGTCGGGAAAAAATCTGAGAAGCTGTAGGGAGGATGCATGGAAAAGACAGGGGTTTGCCGTTGTACTTTCAGGCCGTTATCCTTGCAGCTTCTCTGAAAGACAGGAGGATCGGTTACTTCAGGTTCCTATGCTTGATCTTTTCAGTATGTACTCCGACCGTCAGACGTTGTCGGCATTCCCGACAATGCTAATATATTTCTTTCTTTTTTCCCTGAGAGAAAAAAATGGGAAGTTCGTTCTCGTCCTGCATTTCCTACCACGCTGCGTTCAACTCCTCACGCATCTTCTTGGGCTCCATTTCTGACCTACCTCAGAAGTCAGAACTGTTAATCTGCAGTCTGCACTCTGATAATCTCTTCCTCCCTTCTCCATCATCTTCATTCACGCCTTGCTGTGGGTATGTTCCTTGGAGTTGGCTCTTACATTTACTTTCCACACGCGCACGTAGATTCTCTCTGGTTTATTCTGAACGAACGTCATTACTTTCAATTCGATCTCCTGGTCTGAACTATACATGAAGACGTTTCAGAAAATTTCAGCTTAAAGCAGACAAATGCAAGAATGGCATCATTCCATCTTTATTATATTTTACAGACAACTTGGGACTACCAGCATTACAAGTAGCAAGTTTATGGTAACTTACAGAAATCTCACCATATTGGTACATCACAGTACAAACATTAAGTCTTGCCTCTTTGAGTTTAAACAATGAATACAATAACGAATAATAATACAGAATAAACAATGAATACAATAAAGCCCCCACACAGAATTTAGACTACTGCAAGAACAAAACGACAACAGCAGTTTCATTTGTGTTAACTGCTCAGGGACTCCAACTTTCTTGCTCAAACATAAGTCTTGCTCTCTTTGAAGCCCTCATTATAGCCTTCCACTTGACAAGCGCGCTCAATTTAACCCACCTACGACAGGATGGCAGCTTCGTCATGCTGCTGCCAATATCAGTTGGCAGCATGCTTACATTGGGTGCGCAGAACTGAGGTTTGTCGTGCTGGAGGTCTTTGAAAAACTCATCCATGTTAAAACTGCTTTGTGTCGACAAAATAGGATCACCAGATTGCATACTCAGTGGGAAAGGAGATGCATACTGAGAAACCATTAGATGCTCTTGCTCTGGATACCAGTGACCAAGTGAAGGACCTGCAAGAAAATACCATTCAGTGTATGGCCTTCAACTTCATTTAGTTATAAATAGGATAGGAATAGTTGCTGAAATTAGATGTCAGTAGGTACCATTGTTTGTGAAAGACGTCTGATAATCCTCTTGATGGATTGCCAAGGCTGTTTGATCCAGTGCTACTGATGCTATAATTTCGCTTGAAGCAGTGGTTGGGCAATGAAGTGTTACTGAACCTGCAGTGTAATTTGCTTCCGGAGCTTCATACTGAAGTCCAGTACCAGAGCCCATCTGGACATCGATGTCAAAAGGCGCATCCTGGGAGAATGCAATGTGCAGTTGAGTCAGTAATATGAAAAAAAAGTGCTTCAATGCTTTCTTAAAGGGAAATCCTAAAACAACTGAGAGGGCAGTTTGCAAGCAATCCTTAACCACGGAAACAGATTTTGGAAAACATGAAAGTACTTATTACATGGAACATTTCCTTTGTAGCAACAATAAAAATTTGGCAGTCATACTGATTTATAAAATCTTATGGGGCCCAGATTAAAATTAAATGCATATATAAAACACTAAAAACTAGAATTGTGAACCATATCTGTTACAGCCAAATTATAAGAAAGTTGCTGTGATTGAACTGCAGTTTAATTTCAGGCCACTGCTAAATAATAGGCATTACTTACAGTTTCAATGTTTTCTGGTACAGAAGATAAGGTCCTCACTCGCACAGATCCAATCCTTCCAAATATACACTGCTGGGAGAGAGTACCAGAAAATCCATTGACCTTTGAAGTTCCTTGTTCATCTGTTTCATGAATAGTTTGATCTGGAAACACTAAAGCTTTCATGTCACAAACAATTTTGATTGAAACAAGGAGAATATATACAGTTTAACAAGTCTTTACCATCAGGCTCAGTGGGCTTATGCCCAGGAATGATAGATTCCTGGAGTGTGCTGTTAATTGACCTTGGCTGGCCATTATACATTTCATAATCATGATGATGGTAGGTTATACATTTATATGCATCCTTGCTTAATTCTTCCAATTGGGCCTGCAAAGGTATAAACATAGTAACTTTGCACAGTGTTTCCCAGAATTTTTCCTCATACATAGCAATAAGAAAAACTAAAATTTTCCTATCAACACTTTATTCTGCAACTTCAGGACCTCTCCATGTCTATTACATTGATGTGAATGACAATTTAGATTTTTTTCTTCAGCCACTCAATATGTTGTGGCATCTGTTTTCTTCACTTGTTAAAAAAATGCTTTACCAATAAAAAACAAAGATTTACTTCATTTTCATGCTGCTTATTTCACAAAACAACAGAAGCAAATTATATGCCCCAAAGCAAAAAGTCCTTTTGCTAAATGTGCTTATTTGATGTGAATTGCACTGATAGTATGTGAACAAATATCTGAGCATGAATGTACTTCTAGTGGATATCACTGTGAGTATCAGGGAAAGGTACCTTCCTAAGCGTATCAAGATCACCAAAAGCATTATATTGACCAGCTATTGTTGCTCCAACAACCTGACCCAGAGAACTGACGTACACCCTAATGTTCTTGTCTTCAATAAAGTGAGAGTAAAGGGATCTCCCAGGATCGCACTTTTTAGCATGATCAATAATAGCTTTCAAGGCAGACGGTGAGGCATTACCGAGAATCTATACATATATAAAAAATTAGCCCGTGACAACGATCAAGATCGAACCATGAGAAAAGGTATGAACAAGACTGTTTTCTTACATTGCGCAGAGCTTCCTCATCCTTATAATACAACCTCATTAAGTCCCCCACTGAAGAAATGCCATTAGCTTCCAATGCCTTATGAAAGACACCACCTTTTCCAATCATTTTCAGGCACCATACTTTATCATCTAACCTTGGAATTTCACGCTTTCTGTATCCTGTAAATGTAAGAAACATATGGATCCATGTTTTGAATTTTAAAAGTACAAAATTGAAGGTACAAATTTCAAACTCAGTTTCAGGATTACCTTCTCCACGGCGGTCCTTAACAGTGAAAGGTTCAGTTACACCTTCTTGAACTCGCTCGCCAAGATCATCAAGAAGCTTTACCCCAAGCCTGAACTTTCGACTCCTTGTGAAGCTGGAATTGTCAATGAAAGTAATGTCATGGAGACAAGCCTCACCATCTTTCAGTTTAACATCCAGCTTTCCCGTAAGCACCGCCCCAACTTTGTCACGTGGCCGTACTATATGGTTGTCAAACTTGTCAGGTGTCCAGCTCTCACGATTATCCGCATTGAAGTCACCATCGAGAACTACAATCTTGACATTGGAGGAAAGAAGACGGGAACAATTTTTATCTTTCTGATTGCTCACAACCATTTTAACCTTGATTTGACCCCCATCCACCGCACGGACATCCCTTTTTGTAAATATTTCATCACTCATGCTATTCACGAAAACAAGTTTGTAGGTTGGAGGCAGGTTCTTTTCAATTCTTGTTCTGCAGATACAATGAACATGCGATTCAGATAAGGTTCGCAGTTCATGAGTCTAACAACACAGGTTGTGGAAGCTTATGATGTTAAAATTACCCAGGAATATTGTTGAAATGGCTCGAAAGTACTTTTCTCAGCTCTTCTGGTATCTGTAAAACGAATAGGAGAAGATTTGAGGAGGTTTGGCTACCGACGAACCAGCGCCTTGGCCCAGCCCGGTCCCACCTTTAAGAAGGAGTACAAGAGCAATAATCCAGCGGTTAGCTAGCGTTCATATGAATATGATTACCCGGCTAATGGCAGCCTCCATCGCCTCCACCCTCGTGGTGAGTTCCTGGATGTGCCTGCAGCCCCTAATCTCACTGCAAAATACACACACATACCAAACTGGCTCAAGATTCCACCTTGCATATAAGAAATTGTCCTACATACAGAATTTTTTTAAAAAAAAACATTGCAAAGTATTGGGATCACGATTAAAGGTGAACAAATATAAAAGTAGCCAAGAAAGAATATTAGAAAAAAAAGTATATTCAGTGACAAGTAAAAGAAAGAATATTATAGAAAAAAGGCTATTTACTGACAGGTCGAACGACCGGCATCTCCTCTTTAGCGCCGGCGCACGAGGCGGCGGCGGCGGCGGTTGCGTTGGCCGCCTTCCTCCTCGGCCACCAGCACCACCACCAACTCCTGCTCCTGCTCCTCCCCCGCCGCCGCCGCCGCCGGACCCGCCACTGCCCTCCCGCCGCCGCTTCGGCGGCATCGGACGCTAGCTGCAGCTCTGCTCCGCCACTCGAAGCGTCGTGGTGGTGGTGCTCGCCTGCTCTGCCGTCTGCAGACTGCAGACTGCACTGGCACTGCAGTTTCCGGTGGAGCACATTTATAGGGATTCGGAAGACAAATGGGGAAACTTGCTGTGCTTTTCCCCGCTCCATCGGCGGTGGCTCTGAAGTATGAACTCAACTATTGGAAGTGGCCCGGCCCCGGGGCGGGGCGGGAGGGGCAGCTGTCCCAGGCCCAGAGCCGATGGGCCCCTCCCCAGCCACGCAAACACCAGATGACGAGTCACGCGGACGGCGGACGCGGCCGCCTTCGGCCTTCCTTCCTTCGCGTGCAGCGTGGCGGCGTGCTCGGCTCGACGACCGACTCAGGTTCGCAAGTCGCAACGCTGCACGGCTGACGGCTGCTGCCTGCACGTCCACTCGTCCAGGTTCGTGTAGGATTGGACCAGAGGGAGATAAACAGTGCTTTCTAAAAATAAATGCACTGACTAAATCAAATAAATACGGAATTAAAACTAACTTCTAGCCAAGATTACACACCTCTGTTTAAATTCACAAACACCTTATAAAGATCCTAATTAGGTAAGAAAGGTGCCAAGCTAACTAGAACTCACATAATCAATTCTAGAGTAAGGCCACACAAACTTATATCACTAGTACTTTAAACGGAGGAGCTCCTATACATGCTAGTAAGCAAAAGTACAGAGCCACCTAAGCTCACTAGTAATGTTCAATAACAAAATTACACAAGCCAAATTATAGAGCACAAATTACTTAGCTATACAAAGTAAGCAATATGACTAACAATATTACTAAAACCAAATTAGCCAAGTAAAGAAGCTACTTCTATGCTACACAAGTAAGAAGGTAACTAGCCAACTACACAAGTCAACTAATTACAAGAGCAACTACACAGGCACAAGTATATGAAAATAAATACAAACTTATGTAACGAGGATGCAAACCAACAGAAAGACAAGGATGACATGATAATTTTATCCCGAGGTTCACGTGCTTGCCAACACACTAGTCCCCGTTGTGGCCATCGCTTGTTGACGGTAGTTAGTGTCAATCACAAACCGTCAATCTACCTTGCATAAATGACTAAAATGGATCACCAACATAATCTTAGGGGTTTAAACTGACAAATTTCACGAGTTTTGATGAATCTGTGTTGTCAGCAGGATTTAATGTGAAAACCGCCAAGTAGAACCTATTCGTCAAAGAAAATCATGAAATTTCGCAGCGTAAACAACGTGGGAAGACTCTAGAAGACTCCATGAGGCTCTCCACCGAAGCAGAGCCCGAGCCTCTGCCAGGTGTGGCCGGCCGGTCCCACATGCAGGTCGGCTGGTCTGTGGGACCCACCTGATAGTCCCTCGTTGTTACGTCGGTTCTCCACCGTCTTAAAGATTGCATCTCCGCCGTTTATTCAAGTCGGTTTGATCCGAAGGCTCAGAATTGACGCTCCGGCCTATATATACCTACTTGCACCCCCCAAGGCATGCCCAGCTAGATCCTGATTGCTGAAAAGCCAGAAACCCTAATCCATATTTCCTCCAGGATCAGAGCTAGCAATCAAGAGAAGACTAGTCCTCGATAGCATCTAGTCTTGTATTATAGATAGAGTGACATAAAAGAGTTTGGAGAAAGTGTCGGTCTGTCGGTGCTTTATCTATGGCTTGTACCCTGGTGGAATCAAGTTCTTGAGTTTGCTTCTGAGATTTCTCTGGTAATTGACTTCTAATTCAAGTAAGCATCTTTTTCATATTGTTATTCAGGTTTGCGACTCACTTTTGAGTACTTTAATTTTTGTAGCTCCTGGGTTAAAGTAGTATACGTAGTGTAAGCGTGATGCTTAGACTCAGTTACTCGTGGATATACTTACTTTCTGGATCGGTGGTAGCTTGCGAGGGTGACTCTTATAACCTCGTTGAATCCTTTGTAGTCCACCTCCTGTTAGTAGGCCTTGTAGAACCTTGTTGCTATAGGAAACATACTCTGCTTGTGTTTTCTCTAGTAATAACCCTAGAATTGAACAATAGATGACAAAGCTTACCGAAGTTTGTCCCTCTTAATAGTATGTCCATCTATCCTAAATCCGGTCATAAACTTCTCTACTCATCTATGACCGACGAAATGAAATACCTAGGTTATACCTTTGCCTTGCGCATTCCATTCCATCTCCTTCTATGTCTATGCAACACATGCAACAATCAATCACCAAATGATATGATCCAATTCATATCATCACGTGATCGTTTTGGTTCATCGATCTTGACTTCACTTGCTCTTCACTATTGCCTTGGTCCATCAGCACCAAGTCATCATTCAACTTGCCCTTCACACTTGCAACCGGTCCGTCGAGCCAAGTCTTGTCTTGATCTTCTCCACCTTGATCATATGACTACATGTCATGTCTCATATGCAATGAGTTCCTTCATCACATGTGTGAGCCTTGCAACAAATCTAAGCCATCTTCACCGTCATGGCATGAGTTACTCACACATGTACCTGTGGACTAATCACCCATGTATCTTACTCAAACATATATTAGTCCACTCAAAATTGTCACTCAATTATCAAAACTAAACAAAACCTTTCAGTTTGCAAACGCACAGATCTCACACAGGACCCTAATCGGCTAATCTCACGTGATCGGTGATCCCAGATTCCCAGTTCGGCACCAATTCCAGCAGAGCAGGCAGGCAGGCGGCAGCAACCAGGTAGGAATGTGAAATCTAGTTACTAATCGTTTCTCACATGATCCCTACTTTTATGAAGTTATAGTTACTAAATTATTTCTCTGGATGGACTGGCAACATTATGTATTGAGAATCGATTGTTGGATCAAATTGATATTGACACCATCATCGATGATTTCGCATCGAGGAATGTTAGAGATTTTTATTGAGGTAATTTATTATGTATACAAATTATTTTATATATGAATCACGCTTTTGCATTCAATTAATTTCATATATGAATACTAGTAACATTTTGTATATGCGTGTATATATATTAGCAATAAGTAACACTATTAGTATTATCATGTTTGTATATAAAAAAAGCCCAAAAAATTAGTTTTGTTCTAGGCCCAAAAATACTCAGGACCAGCCCGTGGAACTATTCCGCGAAGTCGCAACTGAACTGAACTATTTTGGGGCTATTTCGCGGCACCACGACCGTACGAGCCGGGCCCACCTAGAAGCCAGAAAAGAACACCAGAATCTTGCTGCAATGGAACTGTGTTTCTTATATATATAGGGAGAGTATATTCAGTAGTCAGCTACAGAATAAGTTATTCTGTAGCCACCTTCATTTACGATAATTTTATATACTAATTTACGATAAAGTGAATACATATTTACGATAGTTGTGTTACTGTAACACATGAAAATATTTATCGTAACGTTATAGTAAATCACATAGTAAGGAGTTACTATAATCTCATGAATTAGCATAGTAATTATCGTAACTCAAAGTGGCCACAGAATAAGTTATTTTATAGCCAGCTGCAGAATATTAGCCAGCTGCAGAACAGTAGTTCAAGAGTTCAGCCATTTGGAACGCAAAAAATTGAGTCGACAGGGATTTCTCAGAATAAATTCAGTTTTACAAAAAAAATACAGAGAACAAGAAATTTTTCTACGTTTCAAAAGAGTGCCCTAGAGCATCTCCAATAGTTAAAAAATTATGAATTAATTATTTTATAAGTGACTAAAAAAAGTTGGGAGAATATTTTCTAAAATATGACTCCTAAAATATAGAAGACTATTTTGCATAAAAAATTTTAAACTATTTCTAAATTACTCTAACAACTTTTATACTTTCTCTCTCGTGTATATTTACATTTGGAACTCTGTGCTACTCATTATTCTTTTATATGTCCTTCCACCCCAAATTAGCCTGTCAATATGGGGAAAGGCTAGTGCCTGCACGGACGCCCGCCCTGCTCTGTGTCCCGTGCCCGCTCCATGTCTTACGCTGCTCCGTGTTCCACGCCCGCTTCCGTCTCAATCTATGCCCGCATGGTTTCCCGTGCTTGTCGCTCGCACCCCCTCCACACGCACGCACATGCAAGCGGGCCCAATAGCTGCTGTAGATAGGGTCCACTACAACACGTGCAACACCAGATCTACTTTTGCAACATCTAGATGACACATTTGCAACGTACGCCCGAAACAGTTAAAACACTTGCAACATATGTCTGAAACATTAGAGAAACACGTGTGTAGCCATTGCAAAACATATTCAACATCTAGATGAAACACCTACAACATATATGTGAAAACATATCAACATCCGGATGAAACACTTACAATATAAGTGTAAAACATATGCAACACCAAAATAAAACACGTGCAATATCCATCTAAAATAGCTGAACCATTTGGAACAGATGCTTGCAACAAACATGTATAGCCATTGCAACATACTCCAACATCTCGATCTACTTTTGCAACATCCACATGAAACACTTGCAACATGCATATGAAAACACCCAAAACACTTAAAACATACGCTTGCAACACGCGCTTGCAACATCCGAGGAAGGAAGGGAGCGTGAGGTGCAGCCGGAGAAGCCCGCTCTGGGTCTAGCTACTCCAGATCTCGTGATGTCGGGAGCTGAGGTCGAGAGTCGCGGCGGCGCTCGCATCGGCAACAGCCACGCCCTCCTAGTGCGAACGGTGGCATCGGCAACACCTCAACGCGGCGAGGGACGGGGCATGGCGCGCAGGGGTAGGGACCGGGCATGGCGCGATGAGGCAGAGTGGGCGCGGCAGGGGATGGAGCACGGTGCGGCGACAGGCGTGGCACGACTCGACGCGGGATGGGGGCGCTGCCGCGAGGTGGCTTGGGGTGGGCGGACGGCGTGGTGAGCCGCGTGAGCGAAGCGAGGAGTTGGGGATTTCTGTCGGCTATCGTAGTGTAGATGGAGTAGATAGAGGAGAGAGCCTAGATGGGCCTGTTGGGCCGG